GTCCTTGCCTCTATTAATACAGTGTATTGCAGTGATCGATTTTTGTATGTTGAACCATCCTTTCATCAGTTGATGAATTCCACTTGGTAAAGGTGTATGAGCCTCTTCACAAGTTTCTGCATTCTACTTGCCCGTATCTTATTAATAATTCTTGCATCTATATTCAATAGTAACAATGGGCTAGAGTTTTCTTTTTCGGTTGGGTCTTCCTCTATTTTTGTGATCAAGGTGATGCTTTCTTCTAGGAATGAATTTGGGAGTATTGTTTGCCTTTCAATTTCATTGAATAATTTGAAAAGTAGTGGGAATAGTTCTTCTCTAAATGTCTTATATAATTCACCAGTGAAGACATCAAGGTCTGGGCTCTTCTTATTGGCAATTGTCTAATTACATTTTCAATATCCCTGATTGATATTGGGTTGTTCAGAATTTATGGGTCTTCAAGTCTGTGAAACTGTGCCTGGCTTTGTAATTTTTATTTTGAGAAAGAATTGCCTGAGTCCCTCAGATTACTGGGCTTATAGGCATTTGCCACTATTTTGAGAAAATATTAGGACAAATCATATTTTGTCTTGTTTTGAGTTTGTTTTCCTTTCCTTTTTTTTTTTTTTTTTTTTTGAGCACCATCTTGCTATGTACTTCAGGTTGGACTTGAACTCACCAAGTAGACTAGGCTGGCCTCAAACTCAATGCAATCCCCCTGCTTCTACATCCCCTGTGCTTAGACAGCAGGTGTGTCCCACTATGCCCAGACAAAACAAAATTGTAAGACCTATTCTTAAGTGGAAAAGAAGTAACACACTTGGTAATACAAGATACCATTTCTAGAAGGGAAGAAGTAACCAGAAGCCTCAAGATGCATAAATACATGGGATGTCAGGGTAATCTGGAAGCAATTTAAACTGTGATGTCTGCAGAGGGCCCTGCAGTTCAATGGGGATATTGGCTTGGACTACATTACAGAACTGTTTACAGTCAGAATATCATCCCCTGTGGCTCTGGGGAGAATGTAAAAAAAGCCTAAAAAGTTTGTCTACTATTGGTAATGCTGCACTTCATGACACCAATTCAGTGTCCACATCATCACAAACGTTGTAATGACATCCAACTTATTCTCATTTTTAGCCTGCTACTGTTCCCTTACATATACTTTCCTCTTAATAACTATAACTTGACACTGGAAATTTCCAAGCCACCTATGCTCATCCAGCAGTTATTGCCACTTGCCAGGTGTCATGCTCAGGTGTGGAGGCCAGGATTTCAAGAACTTGACTATGCCCCTTGAAAATTCTAACAGGTGAAAATGTCATGGGAAAAATGTTGACAGATATCACTAAAACATGACTGAGTAATTGTAGGGAACAGGGGAAGGGGACATTACCAGAACCTCTGCAGTTAGTCCTGGTCTCCTGGGAGCCACGGCAGCACACGGCGAATTACAGGAAACGTAGAAAAATGAGACTGAAGAAGAAGCCGAGCTCTGGATCTGATCAGTGCTGCTCTGGGCAGCAAAGACCCAAGCCCCCAACTTACCACACCTTTTATTCAGTACCTCGTAACAAATGACTTGCAGAGAATTCAGTACATCGGGAGAAACAAATGTAACAAATGACTTGCAGAGAGTTCAGTAGTTCACATTGGGATAAACAAGGTGTAACAAAAGGCTTGCAGAGAGTTCAGTACATCTCGGGTAAATGAGATGTTAACAGTCCAGGAACAATGAGGAACTGAGCAGATGTTTGTTCTCCCAGGATGTTTCTTGTCCTGGAGAATCACAGCATCACTGGATCACTGAAGTCTCAGTTGTGACTGGAGGCCAAACGGGAGTTACTTTGTAGCTTGGCTGTAGGCAAGAGAACTAGGCTAACCAAATGATTTTTCCCTAGAATTATGTAGCATTGCTCCCAACAAGTAATGGAACTCTTAAGTGTTTATCCAAGTGAGTAGACCTCCACCTAGCTATTCTTAGTTCCTCTCTTCATCACTACAAGTGTTTGAAATTGACCAGCTGTTCTTCAGTAGATGAATGGATATCTCAACTTTGCTGTCCAGATGATGGATTATGGTGGAGCCATGAGAGATAGTGGGCATCACAGGTGCAACCCCAAGTGAATGAAGCCAAGCTAGACTTGACCATTCTGGAAACATCCAGAATAATAAGCAGGGATACAACAGATGACCCGAGAGAAGGAAAGAAGATGAAAAGGGGGCTGGGAGTGTAGCTCAATGGCTGGCAGCTGGCCTAGCATGGGTGAGGCTCCAGTTCCATTCTAAGACCTGAAAAATGGGAAGGAAGGATCTGAAGAGCACCATTTTATTTTAGTGCTTCCTGATGCTGCAACCCCAGGGACAAGAAACAATCTGATGCATTGTTTCTCTCCAACCACAGGAAATTGCTGAGGTCAAAGTGAGAAGGAAAGCTGGGTGTGAGAGCGCATGCCTGTAATCTCAGCACTCTTTGAAGCTGAGATAGGAACACAGGTTTGAGCCTAATAGTTCCGCTAGGCTATGTAGTGAAAGCCTGTCTCCAAAACTAAACTTGCAAATCGAAGAGGACTAAGGTATGGAAGGGGAGGGAATAGAACATAAAAATAGTCAGGATGTCACCTGTACATGTACCATCACCACATGATGAAGGAAAAATTAAAATAATATAAGTGTGATAGCTAAGTGTGAAGATCTGGAGTTCAATACCCTATCCTGAAATAAACAGTCATAAAAAGAATGCTTCCTTCTCCAAGATAAATATCATTCTTATGCAGCACAAACATACAAGTAGAAAGAAACCAAAAATAATGAAGGCATAAATATCCTGGAAAAGCAAGTCACTGAGTCACCGTAAAAGATTTTATATTGAGTATTTATTTATTTCTGCATTTAAACTTTTTGGGAGATAGTCTCACAATGTAGCTCAGGCTGGCGCTCAAACCTCAGCTACCAATGTGTCCAGACACTGTACATGTTCTATCTTACTTACCAAGAGTCCCTTTATGCTCATTGCTTGACAATGTATGCAACACTAACTTCAGACATATATGCATGAATTCACTATTCCATTGTCACTGATACACTGTAGACAACCCTCACAATTTTAAAGAGGAAAGGTTTACTTGGTCTTATAGTTCATTTCATAGGTTGGCCCGGCAGTGGGAGATAAACAGAGGAGGGTGAGAGATGGAGCCTTCTAGGCCATGCCCCCAGTAACCCACCTCCTCTGACCTCACCTCATTTCCCTGCATCACACTGAGCTGTAGGCTCAGTAGAGAAGTCCGCTGATGAGGCTCATGCACCCATGATCCAGTCACTTCTGAAAGGCCTACCTGTGAGCATAGGAGGCTTTGAGGGGACCTCTACAGAAGAAAGATACGGTCACCAAACAGGGGATTCACACAACTGTCACATCTAAACCAACTTCGATAGAGATACTCCTCTGTGATTTCCCAGTTCCCATTGGGCTCCAGCGTATACAGTTGGCACAACATGCACCAATCACAGGAGTAGGTACAGATCTGGATCAGAAGGGATGGCCTTATGTGCATCAGTACCTGTGCCAGTTTAGCACAGACCTGGTGAAATTTCTCAGGATGCACAAACTTTGTTGGAATCTTGGACTCATAGCTCTCCAGTGGGGCAGGATACAGCCCCTGGGTTAATTGGCTCAGTGCGGTACACTCATGCAGCAGGACCTGAAGGACGCCCAGTGAAATGGGGTTCCCATAGCAACTGAAGGTCTTGAGCTGGGAGCAGCAGCTCAGGGGAGGCAAGATGGCAAGAAATTGGGCGTCTGTGATGTCACAGTGCTCTAGGACCAAGGTCTCCAGGGTGCAGGCCAGTTTGTCCAGCAGAGCCTGGAGGATCTCCGGGTTGAATGATTTCATTGAGAACTTCCTAAGACTCAGAGACTTCAGCTGGCATGTGCTTGAACAGTGGGCCAGATGCTTTAGGTCAGACTCCTTCAGTGGACTTGAACTCAAGGAGAGGGCCTTCAAGGGGGTCTGGCTCCTGTACAGAGCGAGGGGGGGGGGGAGAGAAAAATTGTTTGGTATAAATTGCCATGATGAGTGGGGTGCATGATGAAGTGACCTGAAGGTTGCAGAGTCAGTTTGGCCCTTAGCTTGCCTTCACCATCTGATGATCATCACCCACATGTTGTGTGTTGAAGGCACTGTTCAGTTAACTCACCATCACTTGTGTGATTGGCTCATTCACAATTCTCTACAGTCCTCTGTGCTCAATGCCAAGGAAAAAAGCACATCTCTGTCCAGACAAGGCCAGGTAGGGACATGCAGGAAGAATGAACCCAGGCAAGATTGTCCACTTGGCTTGGAGTTGGCCATGTGTCCTGAGCAAAGCCTGTGTCCCTGTTCTCAGCCCTGCACTCTTGCTCCTCACCCTGAGCTCCAGACTCGTGCCCATCCCATGTGCTCATTGCCCTGCCTGGAACAGGTTATGGCTTCTGTCTAGATGTCCTCCAAAGCCTTGTGCCCTCTGCAGTGGGGATATGGGAAATTGGTCAGATCATGGGTGTGGTATCTGGATTGGTCTAATGATTGGTTTAGCATGGCTGAAGGTGATGGAATTCATGAAGAGGGATACACTGCCCTCTTTCCTCTCTGCTGGGTGTGGATGGCAACAAGGAAAAGAATTGCAGCCTGGATGGAATCTAAATGGATAGAAGGAAGGCAGGCTGGCTGCTTTCTGTGGACCCTGCTGTGGACTTTTTCTTCTGTGCCGGGTCTTGAAGTCAGGTAACTATGGATCCAAATCTCTGTAAACTGAGCTAAAAGAAAATTTGCTCCTTTAACTTTCAGGTGTGAGGTATTATATTGTGTGACAAAAACATGAGGCAACACCCAGCAGCTTTTCTGAAAGTTGGATATAGAAAAGGGCTTGCTCCCTTTAAGAGCTACTAAGCTTAGTCCTCTGTTCAATGGGCAGGTGTGAGACATGGACCTCCTTTCATGCTCCTCTTCTGGGCAATTTAACCTACACATGTTTCCAAAGGAAGAAATCACAGCTCCCCTTCTTATGTCCACTCATATGCTCCTGGCTTTCTGAGCATGGGGCTGGTTGCAGAACGCTAGTCCCAGATTATTCCCTGCCTTCACATGAGTTAGCATGAGACATGGGAGACCTTGCCATGGTGCAGACATGGTACTTCCATGGTCCAGACATCTCACTTCCTAGGATCTCCCACACTACCACCAGCTTGACACACAGATGCCCTCTTCATATTCACTGGCTCCTTGAATGTGCAGGTGACCTCACCACCCACTTACCTGAAGATTTTGTGCAGAGTTCCTTCCAGAAAGAAGACGTGATCTATATGAAGCTCCCGGAGACTTTGCATCTGTCCTAAGTGAAAAGCATAGATGCGGGAATGCCACTTGTTTTTCCCGGAGGAAGTATACACTTCTGGGCTCAGGCTACTGAAGTGAAATGTGTGAAGTTTTGTCATCTTCCTGAGCAGGGGAACAAATGCTTTCATGTTTTCCTGACCCCAATCAATGGACAAGTCCAGCTCCTGGATAGAGTCCAGTTGCACAGCATGAAGAAGCTTCAGGATTTTAAAGACAGCATCAGACTTGATCATCACCTTCTCAGAGCTCAGGTGTACTGAAGCTTTTCTCTTCCTTGCCCACTTCAAGAGACAAAGTTGTAATTCATCATGGAGGGCACAAGACCTACTCCAGGCTTCAAAGCAAAGGTGTGCAAATATTGTCAAGGTCGGCTTCTTCTTCCTCAACCCAGGCTTGCCTGCTTCCTTACTGCTGGAATGTTCTGAGTAGGCAGCCCTCATGGCTCTGGGCCCTACAGTCCAGAAGTCCCGGTGTACATCCCTCCAATCCAACACCTGCAGTCTCCACCTGGCGGGAGTGAATCAGGAAGCAGTCTCAGAACTCAGGTAAAGACCCAGTTTCCTACCTGTGCTTGTCTTTCACTCTCTGGACATTCAGGGAACCCCTACTTTTCCTGCCTTCCAGTTTCTACCCTTGTAACCATTCAGTGCAGTGGGCTTTGACCCCTAGTCCCTCTGAGAGGAGGCAGGTTCAGGTTCCTCCTGAGTTCCCCACATGCAGCTTTCTCTTCAGGAAACCCCATCCCAGTAGGCAAACTGTGTAGGTGAAAAATCCTCAACATCAGAGCTTATACTTCCATCTCCCATGTCCTGAATACCAACTCTCCTTTCCCTGGGCTCCCAGAACCCTCATTCCAGTATCGTGCATCCCCCTCACCTGTGGTGAACCTTCTGGGACAGCTGAATGTCAATTCCATCCAGTAGGGCTTGCAAGGTCCGTAGGTTTCTCTGTTGCAGTGTGATTTCTCCAAACTGAGGGTGCGGGGTCTTTGGTTTCCTCAGAGTCATCAGGGTCCTCAAAGGGAGGCAGGGGAAAGGCCAGGCCTGTACCATCACTTTTAGGACCTCATTGTGTTCCCCCATGAAGGCCTCCATGAAAATTTCGTGGAAGATCATGGAGGGCAGGTCATGCAGAGCAGTGCTGGCTATAGTCTCACTGTTCAACAGGCTCTGCTTGGTCAGCTCATACAAAGTCAGTGGGCTCTGTGTAGTCATCCTGAAAAACCTGCAAGGAGAAGAATGTGGAGTCACATCCAAGGAGGGGCATCCAGTCAGGCCAAGCTCATGAGCCCCCTTCTGATCCATGAAGACCAAATCATTGTTATGATCCCCGGTCTAGCTATAAATGGAGCCTTCTCAGTTTACCCCAATTTTTGACTTAGGTGGCCAAAAACCACACCTCTGACACTGTTGGCACCATGACACCACCACCCCATCCACTTGGAACCACTAGTGCTTGGCATTCCAGTCCCTGTGGCAAGTGGGCTCTGTGCTTTGTAACATCTCAGCCCCTTCTTGTTTGGGAGTTTCTGGTCTCTGCTCCAGGGCCTTCGAATAATAGCAAAGGAAGAGTCTTATGGCCCCAGAACCTTACCATCTCCATTTCACCTGTGAGGCCACCCAGGAGATATTAGGGAGACTCTGCAAAGTGGATTTCATTTTCATTTTAGGAAGTGCAATAAGCCATTACTATAAAAGCCATGTAACATTGTTCTAGATCATGTTGAAGTTAGAGATGGAAAATGCTAACTCTGGTGTAGGGTGTTAAAACTCTTCCATGTATGACAACCTACCACTTTGCGATCGAGTGTGGGGGAGAAAATACATCAAAACAAGTCTCCTCCTTAAAAATACTGTAGAGACATGGGCATGGTAGTAGTTGTTTTTCTTCTCAGCACTCTGAGAGGCAGAGTCAAAGGAATTCTAATTTCAAGCCCAACCTGTACAATTTGTGTCTTAGCAAAACTTCTCTGAAGTGAATTCTAATGAAAGGAAAAATACAAGTGGGGAGGTGGGTCAGCAGAAAGGCTCTGGTTTCAAGCTCAGGACCACAGAAAACAATGCAAGAAATAGAGCCAGGTATTGGTGGTGAAAGCCCATCATCCAAGTACTCCACAGGCTGAAGTAGGTAGATGAGTTCAAGGTCACAGCCAGCCTGCACTACATAGGGAAAACTGTTTTAAAAAAACAACAACAAAAATACCCCAAACAAAAGAAACAATTCGCCCCCCAAAATTCAAATACAACATTTGTATAAAGTTTTAATTTATGTGCAGTCTTGTGGGTTGAATATAGTTTTTCTTCAGAGTGACAGCTTCAACACTCCTTTTGGCATTTCAGTTTGAGATAAGATCGAACTTGCCCATGAGCAAAAAGGGCCCTAGCTAAAATCACAAATGAACATCCATGAAAGATCACTGAGAAAATATTAACTGAAC